CAAAACATAAACACTTAACGAGCCCGTATTATGTATCCCAGAGAATAGACCCGCCTTTCAAAGCGCAAACTTTATAACCATGCCAATTATCATTTTTTTTTATTCCTAAAGGTAGAGACTGGAATTTGTTGTCATAGTGGCCATTTCCAGGAGCGTATTCAACATATGTATTTTTACCCGCTTACGTAACCCTCTCCCTGCTATAATTCCCCAATGGGCGCAGCAGGACACAATGTAAACAAATAAATGGAAAAAAAATTTTTTTTTGCAATACCTTAAAATTAGTCTGGCCTCCCGTCAAAACCGAAATTCCGACATGACCACTAAAACCAATAATAAAAAGTTAATTATAAAATTTTAGCTAATTAATCACCTTATCATGTGTATTATTCCTTCATATCATGTCCACCGATCCTAATAAGTACATGGTGAAGACAGAACTCGATTAATTCATGATACCCCTTATTTAAAGAAAGAAATTAGTTCGAATAAACACATCGACCACCCCATACAGGGTGTTTTTCTAAGCTTAACTGATTTATTTAAAAAGAGCCGTGAAAGCTACAATTATGCGGTTTACGTGGGTGAGTTATACGGCCAGGGGGAATAGTATAGGGGGCTAATCGTAACGATCAGTTGGCCAATTAGGTAAAATTGGTGAATGAACTTTTAAATTAAAGGAAATATATACACAATTTCAATCAGCAATTTGACTAGTGCTGATTGAAACTGAGAAGAAAAAAACCCTTAGTGAAAACAGCAACAACGGACGATTTAATCTTCGACGTTTCGGCGTTTCGGCCTTCCTGACGAAGGCCGGACTCCGGCCGAAACGTCGAAGATTAAATCGTCCGTTGTTGCTGTTTTCACTAAGGGTTTTTTTCTTCTCAGTTTTATATATATATATATATGTATATATATATACATATATATATATAACGGGCATGGTGGCGGGAGGCCGAAGGCGTGGGTATAAAACTGAGAAGAAAAAAACCCTTAGTGAAAAACAGCAACAACGGACGATTTAATCTTCGACGTTTCGGCCGGAGTCCGGCCTTCGTCACGAAGTCCGGCCTTCCTGACGAAGGCCGGACTCCGGCCGAAACGTCGAAGATTAAATCGTCCGTTGTTGCTGTTTTTCACTAAGGGTTTTTTTCTATTTAGTTTTTTATATATATATATATATATATACAACACGGGCACTTCACACCATCGTACGTGGTCTCCGAGGAGGATATAAACGAATATGTGGAGATGAATGAACCGTACTTAATCCAATTAATCAAAGAATCAAAGTTTTCAGGAACCCACCGAAAGCCAAAAACGGCGGCGTGTGTTTCCAGAACACCTCCGATTGGATACATTTCGTTTCTTGTGCATTAATAAGACAGGTAGGAAACGCCAGGAAGCCAAGATGGAGTGGTGTAGAGGTTAGCACACCCGACCGGACATGGGGAGGCCCAGAGTTCAAATCCTGGCTCCGCCGTTTTTTGGCTTTCGGCGGGTTCCTGAAAACTTTGATTCTTTGATTAATTGGATTATGTACGGTTCATTTATCTGCACATATTCGTTTATATATATATATATATATATATATATATAAGGAAGGGGCAGCATTTTACGGGCGTTCCGTAAAAGCGTTTTTTTAGACGCGTTTCTAGCTTTCAGTTTTTTATCGGAGCGCATCTCTGCGTCCGCGGTCCTGCTCCCCATTGGGTGAGACGCGCAACAAACGTCCGTCATGCTTCCCTCCATCCTACAGCCAACGAGATAGAGGGCTTAGAGCGATGAACTGGTATCTCGTTATCCAGGAAAAAGTGACCCCTCATTGACTGCGGCCATGTTGTACAATTTCGACCACTAGACACGTGACCGTACCATATCCTGAGGATTTTAGTCGAAACTGAGCCAAAATTTTAATTGCGATCACCATAAAAAACATGATAAACTATTTTTCAATACTGTTTAGCCTCAGATATCAATGTCTAGCTCCGATAAAACCCAAAATACAGCACCGCGGCTGATGGCATCTGGCGGAGCCATTGCGAAGTTGCCCGAGTTTTTGTCGAAAAAGCACATTTTGGAATTAAAACAAACAAAACTCAACTTATCTCGTCGATACGGTTATTAAAGATCAATAAGCAATTATTTGTGCGCAGGACTTTGTTAAAATCTAGACGTAAAACTATGAGGTCAAGTGTCTAGTGGTAAGAAAACGTGCAACGTGGCGGCAGCTGGTTGGGGGTCACCTTCAGCTGCAAGTTTATTTCTCTAAGCCCCTTACCTCGTTGCCTACAGCGGATGCGAAGCGATGGCTTCGCGCAGCGACCACCGGGGAGGAGGACCGCGGGCGCAAGGATACGTTCCGATAAGAAACCGAAACCCGGAAACGCGTCCAAACTGAGCGCTTTTTCATAACGCCGTAGAATGCTGCCCCTGCCTTGGATCCTCTTACAAGAGTTGATTTAGCTCTTGTCGATGACGCTCAGCAAGTTTCGAATTGGAACCATGTCTACTTTCACTAATTAGAAAGGTAATTAACAAATTATACTAAATTAGCCCACTGATCGCTTAGATTAGCCACCTATATTATGTCCCCCTGGCCGTTTAACTCACCTGCCCAAACCGCACCAAGTGTAGCTTCCACAACTCTTTTTAAACAAATCTGTTAAGCCTAAAAAAAAAAAACTCTGTATAGTGTGAGTTAAAACCAAATTCTGCACAAGATGCTTGACAGGTCTTCAAGACCTTGCACATGCACATCGGTAAAAAAATATTATATAAGGATTCTTTGACAAAAGCAACAGCAACCATAAAAAGCAGAAAACGGGAACACCAACAAAACAATAACGCGAAAAAAAAAGGTTCTGAATGGGTATTTTAGGCACTCATATAGTAGTGACGAAAATACGCGGAATAAATGCATACGCTCGTGATCTCTCGCCTAAACCATTCCCGTACGCTGGTTCGCCAATTCTAGATTGGAGGTGGTTGATCTGAAGTGCTTTCAAGTTTCCGTGAAATGGGAAAACGTTTCTCCATAATTAGTGAGTGTAATGTTTGGAACTGTTTGTCATTATTTGGAAGGAACAATTTAATACCTGTGAAAGGCGATGAAAAGTTTCATCGCAATTTTTAGTTTCCACTTAATACGTTAAGCAGCTATGGTAACTACGTAAGTGTCTTCGAGCAAACTGAAATTAATTGGATTGCTCAATAAAAACCGTTTAAATAAATGGCTGTTTTGCGGGTGCGGGCTTCAGCGTCCGTCGATATGGTGCAAGCACGAGCGTTGGGATATGAAGATTGGTCGGTAAGCAGCAGATTCGTGACCTTTAAAGTTGAGCATATTAACTCCTATGGGACTAAGTACTACTTGCGTTGTACAATTTTGTGTCTTGATACTCCCAATTATGGGCTTCATAAGTCAACGTCACAATATTGATGAGAAGTCATTAGGGGTAATATAACGATTACACTTGCTCTCAAATGAAGCAATGCTTTCCACTTCTAAAAAATGCAAAGGGAGGGTTAGCGGGAGGAAAGATTTCGATCACCAACTTTCCTCTCCCCCAACGAGCAATCAGTCGATCGTACATCTATTCAATTTACCGAACTTCACTTCGATCCCAAGCACCAAATATTTATTTCTCAGAACAAACAAAATAGATACAAAACAATTCTCTACATGTGCACGTCATCGCGTATGCTTTGCCAAAAGTATCAACGAAAGAAAAGCTTAAATGTAAAATAAGAATACGTGCTTCCTTCCACCGCGGTCCTATTTTCAGCCTCGTGTATAAGGATAAGTAAACCACGCTTGCCCATAGTCATCAAACAAAAACAATACACTCTCTAAAAAAAAACCCGCGCATCTACTTTCCCGCACAACACTCGGAGAGCCAACCACCGCAGCTTACGGAGGCAGCTCAGCGAATGACGATGCCGAAACATATGTTTAGACTAAAAAAGGCAGTCTGAGTTATGATATTTACCAGTGTAAAATGTTACGCCTGCATTACAAATTGTCATATCTCAAACTGCGTTTTTAGGTCTAAACACTAAACATATGTTTGGGCGTCGTCATTCGCTGAGTTGCCTCTGTAAGTTGCGGTGATTGACTCTCCGAGTGTTCTGCAAGAAAGAAAACGCTCGGAATTTTTTTGTTTTGTTTAGAGTGTAGCCACTGGAACTTTATAAAGCACGGGGCGTGTTGAGTACCAAGCATTTAAGTATCAATGTACAGCCAAAGAAACCGCGGCATCAGCCGATGACAGGAATGTACGTCGAAAAACGTATTACGAAGAAAGCAGCTTAAATATGATGAGTCACGCCTCGCGTTTCATGACCAGCCAGCGACCGCCTACCAGTCTTGTGCGCGTTACTCGAAGTAAGCCGTTAGAATTACAACTTATCTTGGTTAGAAATCATTAAAGTAGGTTTCTTGATTACTTAAAAAGGGAAGTAATCGGCAGTGACTTAAAAAAAGATAACCATTACTTTTCAGACTGTGTGAAATTTTAAAAGATAGCTTTCTTTTTCTCCGAACGGTTTGAAAACGGGGATTTTTTTATCGTTCTTTATTGGATTAGAACCACCGAATCGCACACTACTTATCTTCTCAATCAACCAGTTTTGGTGGCCCATCCTCCGGAAGGAAGGCTTCGTTCGAGGGTTATTCGGGACGAATCTTGTACGAACTAAAGGGTGCCATTAGAAAGAAGAGGGAAAAATAGTAACAGTTGTGAGAACTTTAAGCACTTGCAAAAGTAATCCAATCCCTCTTGGATGACTTTCTAATAAATGTATTAAAATTAGCAAAATTTATCCAGAAAGTAATCAATCAGAAGTAATTTGACTTGTTTTGAGAGCACCGTGACAATGTACTTAACGCGCTTTCTGATAGCATCCACCGGTTCGTAGCGTCAACTGTGGTCGTACTTAAAAGTGAAACGGAGTATAAGGCAAAAAATCCGAGAGTTTGAATATTTTTTGTCCGCTGCACATATCTGGCATCCGCAGAATTCGCTCGTTGGCGCGGACGTTACCTAAGGACAAAGCGCAATTTTTGAAGACGCGGATCATCCGTGGTGGTGTCGAGGGAGCCGATGTCCGGTGCCTGGTGTCCGTCTTCGGGGAAAACGCTGAACTTCTGCAGAAGAGTAGTGATGTAGAGGAACAACTGGACGTAGCCCAAGTTCTGGCCCAGGCAATTTCTTCTGCCTGAATATAGAATAAAATGTGAGCAGATAAATGACCCTTACTAAAGATGACCAATAGCTCTACAGACTTTCTGGCGAATATGGAGCACATGTAGATTCCGAGGACGTGTATCAGTAAAAATGACCACCCAGTATCATGACACATTTTGCAATTTCCAATGAGGACGGCCGAAGCGTGATATTCGAAGGCAATATAATTTGACGACTTCGTGGTCTAAAGAGTACTCAGTTTTGTTTTATCTGCATTTTTATTTTGATACCTTTTATTTGAGACCATAAATAAAGGTGCGCAAGTGCAGAGTTTGCCCTTGCGCACCTTCTTTCGGTATGGCATAAAATAAATGTAAGTACGGGACTGGTGTCATATATGTCCAAGCAATTATCATTATGTAACCTCATTATAGTCACTCTCTTATATCGTGATTTGTTGGCCGCCTGGTTCCACATGCAAGCAACTTTTGCTTTCGCGGGCAAGCTATATGTCAGCTAAAGTTATTACACTTTTATGCTATATGTAATTTCAAATCAAGTTAATACCATTTTTTAATTGTTACATTTTATTAGACTCTCATAGTACGTGCACCAAGTAGCCAAACAAAAATAATCTTTTAGCTTGTTTGCATCAGTGATATTGGGTAATGTTTTAGTTCGTAGTTCTTTTTTTTTTCATAGTAGCTAGGCCATTGCAAATCCTTCTAACATAAGTAGCTCGAATTCGTTTGCTCCAACTTTATTAGATCTACGCAGTTACGGAAGTGCCCATAAATGCCCCTTTCCCGAGCAGTAATCCCCTCACCCCCTAACCTCCGCCTCCCGTCTTTCAACGCACCAACGTTTTCGCGTCAGCTTCTATGGCACCTACAGTGTATTGTATGGAATACACTGGTTTTCAAGCACAGCATCTAGATGACTCTTCATCGTACTATACGGAGTACACAGTTTTGATACGCAGCCTCTAGATGACGCTTCGAGCGAAGGTTGACGGATTTGAAGGGGAGAGGGGGTACCACACTCCGCGGAAGTTCCAAAACTGAGTTAATCTGGTTACCGTTGGTTTTCTCATAAATTCGAACAGATATATAAGCCTACTTTACTTACCAGCTCCAAACGCAAGAAAGCTTTCCTCGTTCTTCACGAGTTCAGTGCCGTCACTCGTCAGGAATCTCGTCGGATCGAATTCGTCGGGATTCTTCCAATAGTCTGGATTTCTGTGCACCGTCCTCGAATTCAACAAAACGATCGTGCCTTTTGGTATGAAGTAGTCGCCAATGAAGGTGTTTTCTTGTATCCTGCGCGATAATAATAAGAAAAAAACTCTGCTACTATTTTGTTCCCAAAACACTCATTCTTTAAGGGCTCTTCAACAAAAGCACAGGTTTCATTCTGCCATATTTTACAAAATACAAAACAAAACAAAAAAAAAACAACGTTGCTAATCGAAGCAAGTGAAACTTAGTACCATAGAAATATATTCCGAACACACGGAAATGAACTTATTAAAGCCTCAAAGTAGCAGTCAACATCTCAGTTAGAGGCTACAAGGTTCAATTTCTTAAGTGAAGAGTCGGATGCCATTCCGACATTTCCAGGAGGTTAGTTTGTAAGTCCTTTTCTTACAATCTGTCAAGCATTTTCTTCTTAATGTATGTTGGGTTAATATTCCACAAGGATACGGATGTATGCTCTGCTACTGCGAGAGACTCCGATTTAAATTGAGCAACAAATACGTTGTCACCGGACGTTTAGATCGAGAAGAAAATTCATTTTTTATCACTTTCCATTAGAAGTTTGCAAGTGGCCACAAAAGTGTTCCGCAATTAACAACGGCAGCTGTTGCGTTGTTGAAAGATGCGCTTTGGGAGATTTACTTATAGTCGATATGTTTTCAGATATGAGCTTTGGGAGCTTTGCTTTTGGTGCAATAATTGTAGAAGATGTATACATTTAGGGATGTGTGAAAGGCGCTTGTGCGCTGACTCTCGTGCATGTTGGTGTGCTGCGCCCTCTGCTATTCTCGTGCGGTCTTTCGTCCAATATCATCCTCGGACAGAGAGCTGCGAGGAATGGCCGTATCTGGGAGATGAACTGAGGGAAGGCCGTGTAGAAACTTTTCAGAACCCCGAAGCGGCGGCGGCGACGAGGGAAGAGGGGCGAGAGAGAGGGGGGAAGTGTTAGCGCCAAATATACTTTACTGATGGCGAATTCCGGTGGCAGCCTTTTTCCAGTGACCTTGATTCAACATAGCGGTTCCTCCTGGACGCCAGATCCACTCGGGATCCTTCTCAAGCGATCGCAACTGCTGGGCTCAGAGCATTCTAGCACTCTCGGGCCAGTCACGGATGTGCAACTTCTCGAGATTGGTGATAAATACATAAAACATTTCTACGGCGTACGATGAACGATCAAGTGAAATTCACCTCACAACGTGGTGAAATGATTCTGACGGATGTTCTGCGCAGCGACGTGCTAAAAAAGAGGAACAATCAGCGGCATGCGCATCGATCTTCGCGGACAGAGCGAATACCAATGTTCGAAAATAGCTGTCAACTCATAGCGTTTTCGACAGTGAACGCGATGCGATAGCAGTCATGCGTACGGCAGAACTGCCAAATATCAAATGGTAACTAAACCACCTTTTTGTTTTTCACAGTGGATTATGGTCTAAGCATCACCCACGGGAAATAAAGGTATCGGTTTGTGCCAGAAATAGGATTGAATAGACGTCTTGCAAACTCAGAGCAATTATACCGGTGCAGTGCCGTGCAAAGCACCTTGGGAGCGGCTTGGCTACAGTATTAGTTTCCATTTGCCAACCTCACTTCCCCACATCCCGTCACAACCAAATTTAGTGCTTGCATTTTCGAAAGTGTAACCTTTCTTAACTTCATAATACCGTAAATGTTGCTTACCAATAGAAATCAAGTGCTAAGAAACGTTTTTTGTTTGTTGTTACTGTTGGTTTTATATTTGGAAGGGGAGGGGGTTTGACGTGCTAGGTTTTTTGCATGTAAACAGGAACAGCAAAAAACGTGGAACATCAAGTACACTAGGCCAGGCATCCTGCCCTGCTCAATCTTCTCCCTAATGCATGCTTCTTAAATTATCCCTCAGGCGGGAGGGTCATGAAGCACTTTGGAGTGATAGTCAGGCTCTTAGAAAAGTATGTGAAGCGGCCGGCCGTATTCCTACTTCTTGCTATGCCTGAAAAGGTCCTCGCAGTCGCTGGAAATCTGTGTTTCAACGGGGGCTCTAACAAAGATGAATGGGTGCAGTACAAATGAGCGCTCTCTTTATTTTCATGCAGTGCTGAGATGCACTACTTCGCCAGCGGGGCAATCGAAATCGAAACCATTCCACTCCTCTCCATGGCCGAAAATCCCCACAATGAAACGCGCGTAGTATTGCATGCAGGGACCTTTGGAGGGGTCTATTAAAGTTGGATTTTCATTTATTCTACAACACAAACATTTGATCGCTCTTTTACCAAAACTGAAAACTCCTTGATGCTTTCACAAAACCCTGCAAAAGAGCTTCGAGCTCTGGGAGCTATTTCTGCATCGATTAGGTTTATCGGTTCACCACTGCGAGATGAACGGTCTCGTTAAAGCACGGGAAATGCTTCCCACGCCGAGTTTTTCGGTCACTGGCACAAAAGAATGTCGTCCCGTCCGTTGTAATCCTCGCACCATCGAACTTGAAAGTACCTTGAGTACCAAATTTCCATCGACATCATGCCGCACCCGGCAGACCACTGCTGTCGCAATCAAGGAATGACTCCCGTCCACGTACCGCGTGGCGCCTGCGCCGCCCTGCGCTCCGGCTGCGATAAACGGGAACGCTAGGGAGCACTGCGAGAGGGAGGGGCGCTCTGGGAAGGAACCAGCCGATCGGGTCACTGCATTTCCTTTCCACCACCCGATCTCACGCGCTCTGGAAAGAGCACTGGAGAGCACACTGAAAGCACCACGCTAATTCGCCACAAAAGAACACACTCTAGGCCGCTCATTTGCGTAAGGCAGCGCGCTCACAGCACCCCATTTTCCTCTAGCTGTGGGAACAGCCCTCTTCAGAGAGAACGTATACCTATCGCGCTGACCGCGCTGTCGCGGTGTGGCGCTGCGCGGAGAGAGAGGACTCCACCAGCGGGCCGAGATACCGGATCCGCCATGACAGCCGAGACGGTTTTCTTCTTTGTCTCGAAAACTGTCCACCACGATAGGTGGCGGCTTTTCAAAGGGAAAAACTGCGCTCATCCAGCCGCTTCTACTACGCAAAAGCTGTCGGCGCCGAGTTCATAGGATCTTCGCGGAGTAAATTTTATTCCGCACTAAACTATTTCTTAGCGCCCTGCCAAAGATGATGACGTTGTGCGAGGGGTGACGACCATGGGGAGTGTGATTGCGCCACGGGCTATCACTTTCTCGTTGCTATCACGGGGGTTTTCGCGCACATGCGAAGCCGAATTTTGCTCAAAACGGGTGCTAATCGCTATCGCTGTACGAAAGTGAGTTAGAATAGGATGCTCTTACCCTCTGGAGCCCCCGATGGGTCTCAACGTCTTCCACCGCATTGTCTCTTTCAAGGTGGCCATGGTGAAAGGCATCGCCTGGCGGTCCTCCCATTTGGGCTGTCTCTGAAGTCCGATGACGTCGTCAATTTCCTTCTGGATTCTGGACTGCACTGAGTCCGGATTCTGGGCACAAATGTGAAGCATCCAGAAGATCCTCATGGAAGCTGGACCCGTGCCGGTCACAAGAAATTCCGAAATATTTCTCAGCAGGTGGCGTTCTGTACACGGGCGAGAGAGAGATAACGTACGCTCCTTGTTGCTTTGGATCGACTCTAGTATACACACGGCGAAATGCCAATTTAATTTATTTTTATTTTATAAGCCATTTTAGATTGGGGTGGCAGGGATATAATGCGCATAATAATTCCTGAAGAAGGTCACGTGCTCCACGTACGTTTCAGAGCGGCAAAACAGACACAAAGCACGCATAAGTTAGGAAGGTTGCTTTGGTGTGGCTATGCAAGATATTATGATCGAAAATATAATTTTTTTTTATGTAGCTTTGTGGCTTTACTCTTTCAGCCATATTCAAAATTTGAAGACGCATATGTTTAGAAGCTAGAAAATTCGCAGTGTCAATGTTTGTTAAACATAGCTCGTACGTATTTGTCCTCTAGCATATTACACACATTTTAAGTTGTAGTGAGTTAATCTCTTAAGGTAAATTGGGTGTAACACGACTCCGTGTCAGTTTAAGATAATGCAATGTTCTTTTGTAAGTTGAATGCAACTGTTGTTTAGTAAGGAAGCGATGCTTCTTAAAATTATCAGGCGTGGAAATATTATTACAAAGACGCACGATGGATCGAATCGCTTTTTTTGAAGCACCATTGGTTTCTTAGCTTGATTTTTGTGTCGTTTCCCAATGAGCAGTAATGTAAATAAGAGTGAACAAGTGCCTAGCATAATTATTGCTTAAGCCATGTTGGAAATCAAAACAAATTGAGATACAGATCTGCTGAAAAATATTTGTATTTTCCCGTCTGTCTTGAGTCGTCCCGTTGCTTAAGTCGACGGCCCATCTAAACAGCCGTTTTTACCGAAGTAGCTTTGCATGGCGCACACTTGTATAAGTCGCACGATCGGTGCGGCGAAAGTGCGTTGATAAGCTTTTATGTGTGTATTGTTATTGCAACTTATGCATAAGCGGGAGCTGCACTTCGTTTCAGCTTGGTTTCAGCTTAAGTTCAGATGCAGCCAATGCTACGAGCGAATGGCACCAATGAAACCGTTTCGAAGGCTCAAGACACTGGGCCTTCTCTGCTCATGATTGTTCCGACGGTGACAGAACACGCACAGAAGCATGACGAACACAGTAATGGTGCGCTTTAAATGCTAATTTGTCTTATCAGCGCGTAGCGTCGGCTGCGTCTGTACCTAAGGTGAAACTAACTATAATTTCAATATTTTCACCAAATAATCGAATAAGGATTATATAACCACCGAGACAAATTTGCGGAGTTAATGCCTGCACTTAAAAAAATGAATGTAAATTGCACCGTTCCTCAAAAACACGCCGAATAAAAAAAAAAATAAAGGAAGAAAAGAAAATGCGATTTTTACATTGGAAATAAGGAATATTGCAGTGTTTATTTTATTGAGTGGGGTGTCAATAGAAAATAAAAAGATATGTCAGACCTTCAGAGCTACAGGAAGCGTTCATGTCTGGCGACGCCTGGTGTTTCCTTTGCTATTTTCTTTTTTGTTGTCGAGAACATCTCGGCTTTTAGTAAGGCTAAAACTTCATGGAGGCCTTCTTCATTTTGTCTTAACTTATGGAGAATTAACTTTAATTTAAATTGTTTTAAACGGAATACTACGAACCGATCAGTTGCGTTAATAGATTGGCGTGGTCCTCGGAGGCATCCCTAAAAAAGTTTCGCTTTGATAAATACGTTATTAAAAGCGATAAAAACAATTGCAGGGGGAAACCTTGTGCGAGCTATAACCCGGGTGCCTAAAAAAGCAACACGAGGCGTTGCATTTTGGAAACAGATTAAGAGCAAGTTACACGATGGTAGATTGCATGCTGTAGAATAAATCATAAAGATAAAGGTGGGCTTACAGGAAGATAGTTTATCTGAACATTTTTTTGGTTGATTTGGAGCGATACAAACGCGCTCCATATTCGCATTTTTAGTGCTGTAGATGCGAGCGTGCGCTTGCACGCCTATGAAAAAAAAAGTTAAAAAACTGCGTTAAATTTACCAAGAAAGTTGCCTATTAGTCTCGCAAAATTGCACCAGTTCCTAACGAGTGCTTGCGATAAGCCTCCGCTCTGCACCGGGCATCCGACGGCCATTACAAATGCACTAGATTTGATTGATTACTCTATTTAAGCGAAACAAAAAAGTCGTTATTTGCATTTATGTTTTTTGAAACCTGTGCGGATATAAGCGGTCCCTGTGTTCTTCGCCGTTTTCCAGATTACGGCGAAAAAAAGATACGTGATATCATTTTATGTCGACTTTAGAACGGTTTCTGACTACGTACCGTCAAAATAAGATTCTGTTTTAGATTGTTGTTCCATCGTCTTTTTTAGGTAGCCATCGATAAAATCTCGATTGAAGTCTTGAGGCAGTGTGTTTTTGTGTTCTCTGATTTGGTCTCTACACCGGAAAGAAAGAAAAAAAAGCGTGAATACAATGAAACGGATCGTGACATGATTACCAAGCATCTGGCTACCGCAGGTATTCATGCATAACCTGATCATTGTCGATAACTTCGCCGTTATTTTTTTATTAAATGCACAATGGGTTGTAACAAATGCATGCGTCCGCAATCTGGATATCTTTAGAAGATGCAAGTAATTCTAATCGATTCGTTTAATTCAGTTGAGTAGCACATTTTTGAGCTCTCTATCGAGGGACACCCGAAGACCCTCAAACTGTTGTTTAATGCAGGTGCCCTGTCGTGTGCATCGTGCAATACTTGAAGAACATGGTGCCGAGTCATTGAGCTGAGCAATCAATTCGGCATGTAGTATGTCAGGACTAACTCCTAACTCCTAACGTCTGCATTGCGCATTCCTACAATAATGATTGCTTGCATTTACGTAACACGCTAATCGTGTTGAAGACGATTTCCTGAAAGATAGTCTCCAGACAATTTCAACGAGTCACTCTGGGACAAATATGTATGAAAACATCTAATCGAAGAGCTAGTTTTTTGGTCTGCAGCACACATTAGCCTTGGTCTTCCAATGTCATTTCGTAAGTACATTTTGCATACAATGACGAGATACATGTCGTTTGTTTTTGATAATATCCAATTATAACCGCGTGTATTTTTCAACATTGTCTAGAATATCCGCTAACCCTTAGTCACTTTGGACGGTTGACATTCGCTTCCAGTGGAACTTTGTTTTGCACTACTAAACTAAGTTTAAAGAACAGTCAAAGAGTGCCTATATTTTGTTAGTTTGCGAAGCATTCGAAGTAGGCGTGATCACTGAGTTTTGCCTCCTAGGCTGTAACTTTTTTATTCACTTTTTTCTTCGCATGCTGTCGTAGATGATTGAGGGTGGCTGTTGGCTAGACCAACGCCGTGCTGGAAGAGCTGCAGTTCCCAGATGTTTTGACTCATTCACCTTTTGCGGAGCGCAAGTTTCGTCTGGTTCTTGCGCAGGGATTGCGGTGTCGTCAGAACGCCGAGCTCTAATTGGCTCTGATTGTAAAGTAGTGGGTAGACCTCAATTCTAGCATCCTTGAGGTCTACCCACTGTCCTTCCAATGAGAGCCAACCAGAGTTCGACGTTCTGACATCATCGAAACCCCTGCGCAAAAAGTAGATGAACTTGCGCCCCGTATAGCCTGGACCTCACGCCATCAGAGTTTTAGCTGTTTCTCAAAATATAGGAACATATAAAGGGTGGATGGTTTGCGTCTGACAAGGAGGTTACCGATGCAGTGCGCCTTGGCTGTCGTCGACAGCCGCCCTTAAAGCGGTGCTAAACCGAAATTTGGATTTCACTAAATAAGGCCGCGGAAACTTTGAACGGGACGAAACGAACTCTAAAACATCACTCACATATTGATATCTCAAACGGATGACCATATTTTTGTGAAAAAAGGAAGCGAAGAGAGGAGGGAATGAGAATCGTGACATGAGATGTCTCGTTGGCATTGCTCAATCGTACACTTCTCCAAAAGTACGGCCATCCGTCAGAGATATTGCTGTATGAATGATGTTTTGATGTTTTGGTGTTTTGCAGCGTCCCGCCTATCCGTCCAGCCCTGTTTTGTGAGCTCCAGATTACGGTTCAGCATCCCTTTATTCACATACGACGGCATACGGAGAGTAGTGCAGCAATAACTGAAGTGCATCACCACCGGCTGGGACGTACCACACTGAAGAGTTATATGTGCTGCTGGGAAAGAGGAGTTTCCCAACATTCATATCTTTCAATTCTATCGCTGAATAAAAAAGTGACAACCTAGGAGGCAGACCGTATTGATCATCCCTCGCATGTTAACAAATGTGGGTTTTCGATTTTTTTATTTTTTCTGACATGGCGCAGACGGTTACCTGACACATTCTTGCATCATAAGCCATGCATTTTGTATGACTCCCGGTATATTTTCAGTGAAGTGGGGTACTTGGTGTGATGCTTTATTTTTTTTCGTTTTCTTTTTTTTGATGAGATGCAGACGGTTACCTGACAAACTCTTGTAGCAGGATTCGAGATCTTCGCATGACACCAGGTTTACTTATGGGAAGACTGGCCGTGATTGTACTGAGCCAGTTGGGCTTATTTTCTACCACCAAGCCGGACTCGAAACCATCCAGGACATTTCTCAGGTGCTTGACTAAGAAGTCATGCTTGTCGCCCCCCCAATTGAATCTTCGTCCGAACAGGAGAGCAGCGATGACGTTGGCCACACTGGCTATGACGTAATCCTTGACGTTGATGAAGCCACCTGCGTTGTCTGATATTTGGCTGACCAAATCCTGAAGCTCTTCCTGCGTGACGAAGAATAATAAATTTAATCAAGCTTGATTACGCTGACGAAGACCGAGGAGCAAATAATGTGTTGAGCGCAAACTTGCACCTCGCAGAAATTAACGTCCCGTGACTTGAGTCAACAGGACGTGGACACGTGACGTCAATTACCGTGCTAAATTTATCGAGGAAATTCACCTCACGTGACATCGTTTCCACCGCCAGATTTAGCAAAAAGATTGACGTCACATGACTTGAGGTCACATGACCTCACGTGACTTGGTTACATGACGTAGTCAGGCGATGTCAAGTTCCACCGTTCTCTCGTGAGGAAAATGATGTGACGGTTCTTCGTGACGAATTTTTTATGAGATTCGGTCGATAAAACAAATTGTGCATTACGCCGGGAGAAACAAAATGTGCGGCGTGTTTCCAGCCTAATATTGGTTGGGTGTTTAACAGGTGCATGCACCAATTGAAGTTTTCCGCTAAATTTAGCGTGGGAGTTTCATTCAAGATTTAGATGAAAAACTTGAAGAGAGGTATATACTAACGCAATTTCTCCACTATATTTAGGGGGAGGGGGGGGGGGAGGCGTCGCGTAAATTACATGCTGCTCTATTGTGTTGCACTTCCGTTGCAGACTTCGGTTACTCACTTCCGTTAGTCAGGTCCGTTTCACTTCTTTTGTTAAAAGTTTTTGTTGAACCTTTACCGCTTTGTTAACCCTCTCTCGATATTTTTAAAACACTAGTATGATATAAAAAAATGTTTTATGCTGAAGCGGGTAAGAAGTGAAGAGCCCCCGATATTTCTTCAGAAAAAGGCTAAAAATCGACGGTGACTGTTGCAATTTGAACGTCTGGAGGGCTAATTTATTTTGTACTTATGATCACTTAGGCATTGCCAGAACATTATAACGGTGTTTCAACTAACTTTAGCCAAAACACGTAAAAAAAAAAAAAATGGCGCAAGCTGCGCCATTTTTTAACGCAGTATTGTTCACAACCCTCTTGAGCAGGTCAAGGATTTGTTTTTTGGAATGTCAAAAAAAGACTGCTTAACCTGAATAACGAGCAAATGTTTTAAATAATATATTTTGTGCGCTAACGCTCTAATATTAAAAGAATTGTAAGGTGTGATGTTAAACATCCCGCCATATCGTTTCCATGTACGCTTTTCTGTGTCTCAATGTTTCGCACTCTAAAAAAGGCGCGCGATATCTTTAAGATATTCACTCACTAGCAAACTGCGATATTAGTATTTACGGGCGAATTATTAGAACCTCGTTCGATTTCTTTAAAGCCCGAAATAATTTAACACGCGAAAGGTACCTTGTTGGAAACGGCACGAGGAGATGTTCCTTAACACTCACTAAAAGTTTTGTATTGGGCGGTTTACGCACAAATAAGTGTTTAAGAAGTTGGCTAAATTGTTTATGTTAATTAGCCAGTCTGGCACTTCGCGAAAAATATACTGTCTTGCTCAAGAGGGGGCTGCGTGCAGCACTGCATTGATTTGACACCGGTAGCGCGCACCAGTTTCCTTTTAAGTCTTGGCACAAGTTTGCTGAAACACCCTGTATACGTGGTTTTAGAATTCTGAACACTGTACTACACCGAGCAAGACAACCGTGATTGTCCAATTTACAAGATATGCAATATTCGTGATGCAGGCCCTCTTCATGGTTGGCCCCCTCGAAAGCGCCAATATCTCAACTGGAACGGTTAGTTTGCGTCCTGCAATGACTACACTTTCAGAGCCTGAAGTCCAAATATATTTTCAGTCGCATTTACTTTATTGATAGTGCCCCGGCTATTGCCACTACAGTGACTCGTTTAATAGATAGTTTTAGTAGATCGTTCAGATACCTCCGATACCCCCGATAACGATATGATGCATGACAAACCTCCTATAGTCGGTTGCAAGTCAAGAAGGTATAAGAAGCTCCTCCCACAAGCGTGATGCGCCCGTTTCAAATCTCTCCGCAGTCGAAAGAAGAGTTCACTGGAAATGCTCCTTTTTCCGCTTCAATGGATTCCCACTTGTCTCCGATCCCACTTTTTAAGAAAGCGACCTTTGTATTCATTGGAGGGGGAACCGAGCCCCTGAAAGCAGCCTTTGTATCCATCGGAGGGGGAAGCTAATCCCCGAAAGCCGTATTCGTTTCCGTCGGTGGGGGAAAACTCTAATCTCCCTCTCGTGGCTTCCACAATGCTAAGTCAAAGTCAAAAGATAAAGCTAATATGTACAGAAAGGCAAGACCCTCCTAGCGCGTTGGCCGCGACGTCACGGAAACGATGGGACGCTATTGGATGCGGAGGTGGCGGAGGGATATATGATTAGGTTAGAAAGTTGGGCGAGTTGGTGATTCATGCATAATAATTAAAAAGCGCAACAGGACAACGGACACAGTCTGTCTGTGTCTCCTTCTTTTGTACGTTGTCCTGTTGCGCTTTTTAATCATTATATCTGATTCCCTTTGAGGGGCATTTGCCGCTACCTTCTTAACCCGTAACCGACTATAGATAACAAAGCCGTAGTGCTGATAGATATGCCGTCATCAGCGAAGGCCAACACTGGGAACAGATTGCACACGATTGCGTCAATGTTCGGCTGAAACTCAACCCGAAGCCGGGCGCTGACGCGGCACTTGTTTCCAATCTTTGTCCAGGGTCAGTCTTCGCTGGTGACGCAGAAATGTCAGCACTACGGCCTTGTCACCTAGCCGGTGTTGTGCAAGCGCAAGGGCGGCGGTGGGCTATCGGGTGCCGTTATCGGAGTCACCGGAACGACCTACTAAAACTCTCCATCAGGAAATTCGCTTACCATAATATGGTCTTCCATGGAGGGATGCCCAAAGCCCAGATCTCCAAATACACGCAGGCTGAAGTTTCTGTTTTGAGTCCATGCTTTTCCGTTAAGATTCGAAACGCCTGTAACAACTGAAGGTGCGCTCACTTGTAATAGCATCCAGGAAGACTATTACACATTGTGCGCGTGCAAAGGCAAAATGCTTAGTTGACCCCAAAACAACCCAATTGAAATAATTTGCTAACAAGGGGCCAGATCCACGAAGAACTTCTTGGGCTACGACAACTTAGTTAAGAAGTTCGTAAGTTACGAACAACGTAAGAAGAGGAGAAATCGGTATTCACGAACGCGTTCCTAAGTGAGAGGAGGAAAGCGGCGTTCTCGTACGGGAAAAGTAGAGCTTCCGGTGTCCCGCAAGCTCCCGATCCCCGGTCGGGCTGTAGGTATGACGACAGTGCCTTCGGGAAAACGAACGACCAATCGAAGCTTGGCGTGGTTCGGAGCACATGGATTTTTAGTATCAACAAACGCAGGCGACCCTTCGACCAGCGCTTTTTTGGGGATCGTGTCCGTGCACTGATATGTCGAGGCTACCGCGATTTAAACGGGCCCGAATGCCGAGGTCGAGATAACCGCCTTCGCCGGCTGCTACGAACTCGATCTCTACAAAGTGAACATCATCGTTGCTAAAAGGAGACGGCCCGCTCCACTTGTCTGCAAAGCGGCGTTCATGGAGACAAATTGCCGCGGCGTTTTTCGCGGCCTCGGAGATGGAGGAGCGAGCCGACGTCCAAGAGGATACGTTTGAACTACGAGAGTGTAAGCAAGAGCCACGCAAATATCTGTTTACACTCGGAGTGGTCGCGAGCGTCATATCGAAGCGCTGGATTTGCGCTGTTGGACCGCGTCTTGGTAAGCGCTTTGGGACCGATCTTTTACAATTGCAACTCGATGCTGACGTGACACTCCGCAGGGAGAGGTTGGAGCGGCATTGCGTAGCTTCCACGAACTGCTATAGCTCGATAGCGTTCACGTACCGTCATGTCGGAATAAAAAGGACATGCTAATAAGAAAGTGTACGTGCCTACCCTATGTTGCGATGTTAATCCATACGGCGTTTATTTGAGCTCTATATCACACAAAACAAGGAGATAGAATCGATGAGAGTCCCTTTTCGAAGAAAGCGTTCGTTACCGCTCCCTGGGAAAACAAGGAGATGACAAGGGGAAGAGACTGATCTCATAATCGAAAATTTATGTCAGCGATCAAACTATTCATACGGGAAGGGTCCACAAGGGTCGCGCGGTCATATTCCAACAAGCCAGCCGATCGCGGGCAGACGGTCTTGGCCAGGAACCGTGGGAGCAACGCTGCGTCGGAGCAGGTCGGAGTGCCTCGCTAGGCATCTATTCTGCCAAGGTAAGCCGTGGCCAAGGAGGTTAGAAGTACTAGGAGGTGGCACGTTGCAATTTTGGTGAAGCCTAGTCATAAAAAGTTTAAACGATGTTGTGGCCAACGCGACCGTAAATCTCTCTGGCAATTGGTGGGCGTGACATGTCACGTGTGAGATGGATGGTTGATTGTAGAAGGACGCCTTGCAGGCTTGCGCGCGCACCGTCCGGTAGGCTTTATCAGATCGAAGGCTAGACGGTGGTGTATTCTAGTACCCCATAGCTAGACGAAGGCTAGCTACAGTCGCGTGATGTGGTCACGTTGGCGTGGTAAGTGAAGAGACTAAGGACGAAAATGAGAAAGAGGCGAGGCGTCAAGGGAGCATGGCTTGTGGAGGCTACCCGGCTGACGTCATCCCCTCTCCTACCCTTCTATCCACCTTGGCCGTGGCGGTCGCTTGGTGGGTGGGGTCGTTGTCCTTGTAGCTTTTTCCGAATGTGTGTGGATGCGGCGTTCATCTCCGTGGTGGTTGGTTTCAAGTACTTTCTTTTCTTCTTGCTGCTTGAAGTCGAGACGCGCGTGAAGAGCACGTTGAAAAATAAATGTCCTTTGGTCGTCGCGACGCAGTAACTGAACGAGACTGTCGGCTTTGATGATTTGAACGCAAAAATTGACTGCGGAAACCACTATTGTTGGTTGTCTATGAATTGCGATAGAATTCGTTATAAGACTCACGACGCAGCTCACTGTGAACATGACGACGCGAATTTTGAGTAAACACTTTCTTTATGAATGGTTTACGACGCAATCATTGACGTCAGCGCGCCACCTCGAAATTGAGTGATTGCTTCGTCTCTGTGTAATCGTTTAATGTACTGTATCTGTGTAATCGTTTAATCTACTGTATCTGTGTATTCGTTTAATGGTCAAGCTGTTTCCCCACCATCATTGCAGCTTCTTGCTTGTCTTATCCTCTCTCTCTGTAATTGTTTATTAAGACGAAAGTCTTCTATGTCTCATCATTCAGTCTACCTTCAAAGTCCTTGAGTGAAAACACTCGGCGACTCGAAAGGTACCAAAAAGTTTACATGGCCACTCAGACGGCCGCTCAATCGTATGCTCAAGCACGACGCTGTTCTTGCAGCCGTCGTTGAGGTCGTCTTAAATGTCGTCCGGGACGTCGTCCTCTAGGAGTCGTTCTCGACGTCGTCTTAGACGTTGTCCTTAAGGTCGTCCTAGATGTAGTCCTAGAAGTCGTCCTAGACGTCATCCTAGACGTTGCCCTTGAAGTCGTCGGAGAGGTCGTCCTCAGCGTCTTCCTTGACGTCGTCCTCAGCGTCGTCCTTGACATCGCCCTGGACGTCGTCCTAGACACAGTACTTGGCGTCGATCTCTAGGACGTCGTCCTCGACGTCGTCCTACACGTCGTCCTACACGTCGTCCTAAATTTTAATAGGTGTAGAAACATCACACGAAAGACTCACCCGCAGGACAAGAATGCTTTCGAGTTCCTACAGTGGAAGCAGTCTTAAGTGTCCTCCTTATTTTTTGTTCAAGCTATTTCACAACCATCATTGACCATGTACCAACTAGCTCAACTCAAGCCGATAAATGCTCCGTAGCTTGAGCGCAAATGGGAATGAGTGCGTACTGCCGCTACGTGTATGCCTGGCTCGGGTATACATATCTGCTTGCGCCGCAGCCATGAGTGGTTGCTTCGTGGCTTTGACGCAAATGTGAATGTGTGGGTACTGCCGCCCCGTGTATGCACGGAGCGGGCTTATCTGCTTGCTACGACGACGTCGAAAACGACGTTCTAGAGGACGACGTCAAAAACGACGTCTAGGATGACCTCTACGGCGGTCTTAAAGACGACCTCTCGGACAACCTCATGGAAACCGTCTAGGACGACGTCGATTACGACGTCTAGAACGAGCTCTAGGACGACCCCTAGGACAACCTTTAGACAACGTCAAGAACGACGTCTCGGAGTACGTCGAGGACGACGTCCTAGAGGATGACGTCTAGAACAACCTCTAGGACGACCTTTAGAGTGATCTCAAGGACGACCACTAGGACGATCTCTCGGACGACCTCTAGGACGACATACAGGACGACATCCGCCTGCGCGCGGCACCGGCATATGCGGACGTCCTGCATATGTGGACGTCCTGCGTACGCGGAGGCGCATACGCATAGCGCATTCGAGGCCAGAGAGTGTATCGTGAAAACCGCGTGAATTAGCTAAAAATGCTGTCGCATTAAAGAAGTGCGTAAGACACTTCTGGAGCTGTCGTAGGATGCCATCGTAAGTTGCGCGAAACTTACGATAATTTCTTTTTGGGAATACGAATTTGTTCTTAGGTTTTGTCGTACCCACATTTTTAGCATACGCTCGTTTCGGTAATCTGGCCTCAGGTGTACACAAAAGTCTTCGCAAATTGCGCGCAGCTTAGAATGCACAATCGCAAGATCCTTTAGTCATAGTGTGCGCGCTGATGCACTCTCTCTCGTGAATCTGGGAGTGTACAACTGAGAGCAAGAGCTACGCTCATTAACAGCTTAAGAAATGCGGGGGCATGGCCTAATATGTTAATTCACTGTTTTTGCTTCGTGATTGGTTCTTCCACGTTGTTATCGACCAATGCCGCAATCTGATTGGCTGCGGAGCGATAATTAGATGCTTGGGGTTTGCTACGTCCTGAGTTTCTAAGGTTGTCAGTGACCACACTGGCTGTGATGGCCCATTTATATTTTGGAGTATTTTAAGCAACGGAAAATAAGAAAGACGTTTACAATCCCCTGTCACTCCGAAATAGAGCGCAGCTCTTGAGGAGGAGGAGGAGGGGAAGGTACGGCGAGGAGGCTATGCCCCTCCTCCTTTCCTCCCATTTAGGTGAAGAATTTCAGGCTAAATGTAGCGGGGAAATTTTTCCGCTAAATTTAGCTGGGAAGTTTTTCCGCTAAATCTAGCGGGGAAATTTTTTCCGCTAAATGTGGCGGGGCAAGTTTTTTCCTAAATTTGCCGGGGAAATTTTTCTACTAAATTTAGCGGGGAAATTTTTTCCGCTAAATTTGGCGGGGAAATTTTTTTGCTAAATTTAGCGGGGAAAATTTTCCGCAAAATTTAGCGGGGAACATTTTCCGCCAAATTTATTGGGGAAATTTGCCCATAATGTACCGCGCGGTTACGCCAACGCCGACGCCGACGGCGACGGCGAGGGCCACGCCGCTCAAACCAGAAACGGACGCCTAGGAGCTGCGCTCTAAAGGTGAAAGTCGTTTACAAATCTCTGTAATGCGAAATGCAGCTCATAAAGTATTTTGATTTTCCGATATACCGTGACGGGACAGTGCGCAGGAAGAGGAGGTGGAGAGGGTACGAAGGATCCTTCCCTTTTTGTCCTCCCCTCTCCTCCTCCCTTCCTCCACCTCGTCCACCCTCCACCTCCCCCTCCTCTCCTCTCTCCCTTTTCCTCCATCTCTCTCCTCCTTCTCCTCCCCTCCTCGTCCTTCTGCTCCATAATCTCCCCTGCTCCCACGGTTTCCCCGCTTAATTTAGCTGAAAATCGACGCCGCGTGTCCTAAACACCAATTCAGTTTCCACGCTACATTTAGCGGGGAAAATGACCTCACATGGGACCTCCAAAACCAATTCGATTCCCCGTTATATTTACGGAAAAATTAAATTTGAGATAGAGCCACGTGACTTCGAATTTCCCGCTAAATCTAGCGGAGAAACTGAATTGTTTCATAAGTGACGTGACACGAAGTCATGTGACGTCATTTTCCCGCTAAATTTAGCGGGGAATCGAATTGGTGTATAGGTCTGTGACGTCCCATAATGCAACGCGTGCGGTTACGACGACGCAAAACACGGGAACGAGCGCCTAAAGCCTGTTTCACGTGCAGCGACCGTGCAAAACAAATCGGTGCGACAGCCGACGCAGCGAGTGCTATCGCAATGTTCGGTTTCAGATGCTCCAACAACCGCGCGATTTCTGACGGCGCGGCCGGCTTTTCTACCCAAGGTTAGTTGCAGCGGACACGGACGCGACGCGTTTGACTTTGCCTAAAATACAACAAAAACGTCTTATTAAGCACAGATGTTTTACGAATACACTATGCAACTAGAAGTTTTTAATAATTAAGCATTAAACCAAAAGCTTTTAGGTGTCTAAATTTATTTTCGAATACGCAGCTATTGCAGATGACAGCTGGCTAATGAGCTGCTGCAAGCATTTCGGTTGAGGAGAAATCGATTGCACCGACTCTGTGACAAAATACCAACTTGGTGGAAACCAGACGCAGAGCCGTTGTGACAGTGCGCTCCGATTGTAATTGCACTCTTACTGAAAATCGCACCAATTTCGGACGAGAGTCGCGCAGGGCAGAGGGGAGCGGGGGGGGGGGGGGGGGGGGGGGGACACCTTTCGCAATTCCGGATGCGAATGGTAGTTCGCGCTTTAATTGCTGCCCGAGCGGGGCCTGCGCACGCGCAGAACTCTTCTTGAAAGATACCCATTGTGGAGATACGTAAAGCGCTGTTGCGCTTCTTACGGGAATATTACCGCAATAAAGGATACCCTTTTCAGGATATCTCGCGTTATACTTTTTTCAATCTATCTGGGTGTCGAGATATCATTTATCATGATATTTATATATATGTATACACTATTTGAAAATATAAAGCCACTTCGTTCGAGTGAAGCTGACTTGGATGCTTACGGCTCTCGCCCATCTTTTTGTTTTATTAATATGCGGACGTCGACGACGGCAACGAAATTTCGGGAGTGTCTAGGGCGCTTTAAGTCTCGTCGCTGATTCGTTCCACGCTGTGCTCATGTCCGTCAGCTACTCTATGACTTGTACCGGAGCTAATACCTCGCAGTTCCTGTTCACACAGGCTGGAACGATCGAGCGCTCACAGTGGACGTTGACGACGAGCCAGTTCTCTTGCATCCAATTAAACAAAAGTTATCGTACGTGGCCGCCGTGCTCTTCACGCGCTTGGTGAACAACAGCGTGTAGTCAACAAATATAAATGTTAATGAAAAAAGAAAAAAACGTGGTTAACAAATTGTTGGAATGTGTGAGAGGTATCGCAAAGTTCGAAGGACATCATCGATAACTCGAACAAACCAAATAGAGTGACGGTAGCATCTGTTGGAATGCTCGATAGGGATACGTGTTATAAGCTTTCCCCAAATCCACTTTTTTAAAAATAGTAGCCCCTTTAGAGCGGCATCTAAGCATTAGAAATGGTGGATCGAACGAAAGTGATACACTATAGTTTCGTTCAACGTCCGATAAGCTCCAGAGGGTTGCCAGTCTCGGTTTTGTTTCCCCCGGTAGAATGTAAAGTGGTAGCGCGCTTATTATCAGAAGCACCTATTATTCGGATAATCGTACATATGAAGCATCTGAACGTCTTGAAAGTGTAACAAAGATGTACAAAAGACATATGATACTTTCTAACATAAATCTTAGCTCCTGAGACCAATAGAATCAGAGCTTATCCTAAACTTTCAGGCCTATAAAAGACAACATGGTGGTAATGACTACTGGTCATGTTATGCGCGAAGCTAGTAAATTATACTGAACTAGACTGGCTAGACCAACATCTACACTTACTGGTGGCCCCGTGTCGCAGTTCATCGATGATCGCATTCGTGGGACGGATCACGCCTTCTTTCGAAGAGTAGAACTTCTTGATGTGTTCCATGTCGTTTAGTATGACTACGTTGGCCGTCCCAATTTGCACTCTGTAAGAAAAAGCGCTCAAATGTTAGATACCTACAAATGCAATGCGACAATCACACCACAAAATGTAGATTCAAAGTGGGTGTGCATCAAGTCCCCTTTTCAGTCTATCGAAAAAGCCTGTTGATAACTGGCTCCATCGGCGTGTAGAACACCCAAACGTTCCTTTGCGCTGAAGCATGTATGTTAGTATTGTAAATGCCTGAGAGCTTATTGACTTAACTTTTAACAAATTGACATTAACACTTTTAATACGAAATGTTCGTAATTCTGCAAGCACTGCGTGTAGAATGATATATAGATATATGCATCACCTTGCCTTTTTCTAGGAATTCGTATGATGCTCTGCTCACCGCAATATATTATAAATATTAAGTTAAATTGCAGTTGCAAATAACTGGGCTTGGGTCCAGGATACGAAAATCTGCACTGAACGCAAGACAGAACCGTATCACAATACAATAGCGATTTTGACTCTTCTTGTGCCATCCTATTTCATATAATTTTACTTAGTCAATTTTGTTTTCATTTTTAAAAGAACTGCATGGCTCTGGGATGAAATTTCTGCTACTCCGGAGAAGTAATGGTTTGAAAATAACATGCATGGACATCATTGGCGGATCATCCTTAAATTTAGAACCTGCTTTATCGTTCGTCTGAAACAGCAAAAAAGGCATATTTAGTTCTGTTTCGTGTACGTATTGTTTTTTTTTTATTTGTGCGGCGCTAATATAATTGAAACTGTACATTACAGTACGGGACGTTCTAGAGAAAAAAGACCTGAGGTTTTTGGACTTGATAAGTAAAGTCTTTACCGCAGAGAGCTAAAATTCCTTGAGAATATGACGCTAGCAGTTGGAATAGAACGAAGAAGTTTGATAACATGACGTTACCTGGATAAAACACATTAAAGGGAAAGACGAACTCTCTCTATGAGCCGACGTCCACCAAATATTGTCAAAATAAGAAATGCCACTGTGGGTGCCTAAATCAACTATTTCAGCGAAAAAATAAAAGAACTCGTCAGGAAATAAGAAAACAATGTTTTTTCTTCCTTACAAGTTTTTTTTTTTTTTTTTTAAATTTTGTTGAAAGTGCGTGTTCAATGAACATTTCACCTGGAAATTTTAATATTTATTATCTACACAAGTTCAGCAATGGTTTATTGACTAGTAAAGGATATATTTATTCATATTCGCAGTAGCAAAATACTAGCTCAAAAAGGCGTTGCTACGCAATGTGGTGCTAAACTGAAAGCCAAGACGAAAAAAAAAGAATACTGTTATCATAACCAGATAAAACATGCGATGGCATTACTCTGCAAGCCTTCATAATATGATATAAGATATTGAATTCTAATTTGATAATTAGTATATTGTAATCAAAGTACAATATAAACGCTATGGAATAAAATGAATCGAGTTTAATACACTATATTTTATTACATCCGCTGCATATAGGGGATCGGTGGCCGAGTGGTCTAGCGCACACTAGCTCGGAGCGCGTGGAGCGAAAAACTCGCGCTGCAAAACCCAGGGATCCTGGGCTTAATCTCCGCCCTTGCCGGTTTCGATCTGGATGAGCATCGTACCGGGTGCGGTCGTGTATCGCTACTGCGTGGTGCACGTTAAAGACCCCAGGTTAGCGGTTGTACCGCACTGGCCAAATTGATCATCTACTGTTGAGACACCAGACGCCCACTTTGGCAAACTAACTTCCGGCTGTATAGACATACACACAACAATTTTCTTTGCTTTACCACTACATACTCACGCAAGGCGATACTTTTCCCAATAGAGACTCTTTCAAACAGACCATTTAAAAAAAAATAACTGAAGTGATTGCGATTGCTTTACCTGAATATAGGACCGTAAAGGTTCGCCCACTCGACAGATTTTCGGAACAATGAAGCGGTGTTGCTGATGCCCAAAGTTCCGACCAGGGGGAGCGCCCAGGGTCCCGGAGGCTCCTTCTTCGTTTGTGGTTGAAAGAATTTGCGCTGAACTAAGAGCAGCAACCAGATGGCTAAAGCTGCGACCGCAGTGCCAAACAACCATTGGAAGAGTTCCGACGTCTGTAATTGCGGTGGGAGATGACACAGCAGGTCAAATTTGAGAGTTTCTACACGCACTACCAACGCATTGCAACTGGCCAACACCATCCAGAATAATCAAGGCCTGGGAACATCGTCCTCTATATAATTTTTAATTATTTTAAATAATGTTAACTGATCGCACCTTAGATACTGCGTTTGATGCATTGTAAAACTTCGGAGGTAAAAGGTCCCTTCTAAGTTTGAAATCCACCGCTTTATCATACGATGGACCGAGGGAGGGCACTACGAGCCATCGAAGCCGATCGAACGCCATTTGAGTATCACGTGATATGTTCACAACGCTGGATTGGCTGGGTCGTTTCGTAGCGTCCACTCTGGCTCATTGTAAGGCCGACTATATGAATCACACACAGAGAGTTTCCTTATTAAAAGAAAATAGAAACCTCTGAAAACCACGGCGGCACTTTTGTCGCCACTCAAACGAGGGACTTTTAAACTCACTGTTTTTGTAGATTCAAGTTAAATGACAGAGTGAGTTGCAGACGTCACAGATGAAGGAAGTATGCAACCGTCCGCACCACATGTGACCTTACTACTTGCTTGCTCCACGCTGCACACTGAACCGCACAGGACAAATCGTAAACTCGAGTACAGAATATTTTGATATTGTGCCGGAATATGCCTCGGGTACGTATATCGGGTTACGCTTACGCGAGGCACCTTTGCGATAATCGCCTTCTGTGTGGGCAGCCATCTTTGTCTTCTGGGGCTGTAGAAGGCTTTCTGAGCGTGCGCAGTAGCTCTCTTCCGAGAAATATGAAACGCAACACATGCGTTTACAGCCCAGTGACTCGGCATTTTTTACCTAGATGATAAGCGCTCGTCCGTAGATTGTACTTGGTTTCACTTACAGTCCGATCGAAGCCGACTCTATAGTATCGCATGGACCCAAACAAGCAGCCCCAAAAATGCAACGTCATGCGCTTGTCTCTTTTTATGTGCGTTTGCTACTGCCAATTATACGAATCACGCCCAGTGAATGTTCTCTAATCTGGCGCTTTTTCCTATGCTTGACTTGTTGACTGGTGATAGTAAACCTACGAAGGAAACAAGCACCGTGACGGCGCACTTTTGGAGCTGCTTGATTGGCTGCATAAGATCCGGGCGTCGGCTCTTGTCGTAACTGAAGTGTAAAGCAACGTGGATTGTGTTCCACTCCTCGTCATGACTGCTATTTGTCGTTCCTGGCTCACAGGTAACCGCATTCGGTAAAGCCAGAATAAGTTCCTACTCACCCCGAGAGAATGACTGCGGTGAGTTAGCGTGTCATCCATAGCCATATCTTCACTAACGGCTGGTTTATAGAGAACACGAGTTAATAATTATGAACGTTCGAGTGAGAACAATGCGCCTCGAATCGGATTTTACATAGAGGCTGGCTAAAGCTCGAGGGAAAATACTGTGCGAATTTAAGCGAACAACAAGTTGTGCGTCCAGCTGGTTATAGTCCGCCCGCAAATGCGATGAAAAAAAAAAAGAAATAATTTGAAACGCAATTTTTCTTAACTATTGCCGCTGACGATGGCAAAAACTCTGCAGCGCATATCCTGTGAACCATCTGCGCAGACATCCTGTTTTTCACTCTCATGGCCTCTACCGCCGCAGTTAACCTTCGAAGGTACAGGTCCCTGCGCGGCATGTGCGTGCTCTTTGCGATCTAGTCCTGTTTCTACCGACGACTTATTTATTATATTCTTCATAAAATATTCCGAAATGATTCGTTTTTTTTTTTCATAAGCATTACTTTAGATCAGGCTCGGTGCTGTTTTCACCTTTCGACATTTTGTTCAACTGTCCACATCCGGGTAGATTACTGCGGGCAATATGAAGTGTTTCCACGTCAGATAGTACAATGATGATTCGGCTCATATATTTTTAGATTAAAACTTTTATGTAAAAGCCATGCCCTTGGAGGGAGCATGCAGCTATATTTGAACGTTGTAGCTACTTTTATTCTGGAGATATAAAATTTCGCAGCTGGAGGCGCGGAGATTGCCAAGGTTTCCCTATGATAATTTGCACAGCCGTCGATTTCACATCGAAGCATGCGCGGAGTAATAATCTGTTTTACTTATTTTATAAAAGATTAACAACATATACACATATATTAAAAATTACAATTACAACAAAATAATATAATTCTATGCAAAACGAGGGAATGGTACAAAACACGTCAAGTAAGAACGTTTTAGAGACCATATTCACAAATTATATACCAACAAACTACTTCGAATCCAATCACATAATATATATAAAAATTAGCACCTCTATATCTATTTGATGCATTCATAAAAAACATATGCTTAGCGATTATTGTATTTATGTTATTTTAGCGGGAAAGCAGCATCTTTATGCTGAAATGTTGCAAAATGGCACACCAGTATATATATTTAAAATATCTCCTTTTATTTTTTTTAACTCTTCCAAATTGTAATCGTATTGAACAAACTTATAATGGCCAAACGAAATACAATATAGCTTCGCCAATACTGGAAACTTATCCGAAAACCCATGGGAGCTTGCGGTGAACGAGACAGTGACGCCTCTAGCAGACTCCCGAGTCTAAGGGTAGTTTTGACGTACAGCCGGAACGATTCCGCAAAGAAGGAGCACAATTGCTATGTTTGTTCCTTTGAGAGGTTACGAATTTACAAAAGTCTTTGGGGTTAGAGTATACATAGCAAACTCGGTCTGAGATACATGAACTTTTTCATCTCTTACAGCCATTTTGAAAATCATTCACTCACATTCACTCACCGAATTTTGAAAATCATTCTTCCAAACCCGACTTTTTAAAAATCCTGTGATAGTGCAATTTCTTTCGCAAACGACACCCCAGTTCCAACGAAAACCACGAAGGGTATTTGTTTGGCATTCATGGTGCTCGACAGAACTGCAGTAAACGCCTCAGTCGCTGAGTTGACAGATACGTTCTTCGAAAACCGGATTCCAGTCATAACTTTGCAGGTAAGAGTACAGGCTAAAGTAAACACCTTTGCTGTATAAAAAGTAGCTCCTTCCTACCCCCGAGGACTTCAAGACAGAAGAGCAAAGGGATGATCCAGACCAAGAAAAGATCCATCTCCACACATCCTCATTCTCAGACGAACCTACTGGAATGTACCTAGCATCTTCACCCCTAGTGCGAGTCACTAATTTGGGTTGCAGTCTTTCCTCGAAACTAGCTTAGGTAACTTTCCACGGTCCCGGATGTTCTTTGGAATTTAATTAAATGACAGCCTCGGCACGTTCTTGCACACAGGTACCATCACCAATGCCAAAAACAACACCGAGAAAACAAAAACGCACGAAAAAAGACTTATTCACGTCGTACACATTTTTTGACTTGTATGGGGAAACGGCGCACCCTTGTGGTGAAAGCTGGCAACCGGAAATTGAGCAGGCATTATTAGTATACAGGAGGCTATGCTCCATGATGCCTGTTCAGGCATGTCAGTCATGAAGAGCTTAGCAAACACAATCTTCTGGTACCCCGGTGTTAACCAAAACATTTAGGAACATGCGAGGAGGAACAAGACATGTGCCAAGTACTATTAAATGCCTCTGGTGTAGGTTCAGGTCAGCTGGTTGGATACGAAGTAAAGAAAAACACGGCTTCACATATGTCGCACCACTGGAGAGTTGCGTAATACTGATCGTGGCCCACTCAGACACAAAGCGGATAGAGGCATCGTTCGAGACCACAGCTAGTAGAAGCCCAGTTCGACATCTTTGGTCGATTTGGACAGCCAAGGACATTGGTCTTTGATAACGGATCCCAATTTCATAGTACTGTTTTGAAACAGCTTTTACAATGGTCATGTTAAGCACCCAACCACCATTCTGTATCACCCTCAGTACAACGGGTTAGCCAAGCATGCGAAATGTAGAGTCAAGGGGAGCACTCACAAGGTTCATCCTCGTAGCCTTAGAACCAGGCTTGCGAGCACTTCCCCACTGTTGTTGAAGTGCCGCTGCTGCAGAATCTCAGCAAAATACAGGAAGTACTTCTCTGAACTGTTATTTGGCTACCGCATTTGATCCCAGATTGATTTTTTTCTATATCTATTTGAACTCGTCCCCGCTCGAGAGAGGCAACCATCCTTTTGGTAAGGAACAGACTGTGTGGGCGCGAGTTTCGGCTCATGGTGGATTTCTGAATTTCTCTGCTCACTTGATGATATACGAATGACAACAGTAGGAACTCCAAGAAGATAATATCAACAGCATCCGGATCAGGTCTGGACAGGGCTTCTTGTTAACTTGTTGACAAAGAGGCAACAATGTTGGTGGTTCCGTGGTTCAACGATCAGGCTGTTCCTTGGCAGCAGGAGACATCCAAAAAGGGCCGGTAGAGCAGCCAGGTGATAGGGTGCCCTAAGGGGAGACGACTAGTGGCCGGGGTTTATGGTCAGCGCGGACCCTGCCGGAGACAAAGGAGAGGTGATTGACTTTTAAGTTTAGGTTTAATTAATCAAAGAGTAGAAGATCAGAACAGAAGAACAAGAAAGGCAAAAGACTACAGAGGCGCGAGCTCGGTCTCGAGCTTGCGCTAGAATTAACACAAATAGTGCCCGCGACGACGCAACAAACTAGTAAAAGTCAATTCTAACATTCTGTCTTCCTTTTTTTTTGTTTTGACGAAACTGCCAGAAATACTTTAAAGGGGTACAAAATCAAAACTTGAAATATCCCCGGAACACTTTGAAATGGGTGAAATATGATCCTTTATATCCGTAATTGATAATCACACGCTTGTATTTACAGCAGAGGGCTATATTTTTCCTTGCAACCGACGGATTCTGGTGAGTGCTTCAAGATCAGCCATCGGGTCGGCGCGATGCGTCTCGAGATATTTGCCCGTGACATCTCGCTCAGAACGTTATGAATTCATACGCGACTAAGAGTTCCGTAATTACAATCGTCGTCACTAGGCGGCGCCAGCTTTATCGTCAACGCGTTACAGTCCCGCCAAGTGGGAATATTCGAGGTGTGGTGTACTAGAACTTAGAGGTGCACCAAGCTCTGCTCGTTCCCTCGCGCCT